TTAAGTCAATGCAAGAAAAATTCCTGCGGCGCGAATGAGGCGTGGAGCGCGGCGCGGAAGACGCGAATACGCCTCATTCGCGCGTCAAGTTGGCTGAACTTTGGCGTGAATTCGCGCCGCGTTAACCAATCAGGAGCCTAGCTGCTTGCTCACGTGGTGAAGTGTCTGGATGCTTCAATAAATTATTTTTTTAATATGACTAAATGCATGGTGGGATTATGCACAACAAAGCAAATGTTTCATCACTTAAAACATTATTTCTATATGGAGACATGTTCATTTTGTATTGAATGTTATTCATTCCATATCTAGAAATAGTATTATGTTGTAAAGACAATCAACATATGTGCATAAATTCGTGTCTGGACGTGAGAGAGAGAAAAAAATCACAGGACAGGTTAATAACTTTTGAAGGCTGGCTCTATTTATTATCAAAACAAAAATAAATGACAGCTAGATTAGATGGATGAGGGGCCGGGCGAGGGTGATCCTCGCTCAGATGCGGGACAACAGGTCATCAAACTGGGCGCGTGACAGGCGGAAGTACCGCTGACAGCGGCCGTCATCCAGCGCAGCTCCTGGAGCGAGCAAATGGTGAAACTCGCCAAACGGTTCGGCTCCGAAGGGTCCGGTGGACACAAATATACGGCGACGATGATCCCCACGCCGCTGTTCTGCTATCCAGAGTAAATACAGAGCGGTAACTCTCTTGATGAATGCTCGGTCGACATAAAAACAATGACCGCCAACGGATTTTGATTCTGACGCGCGTCACGCGCGTAAATTTCGCTTCAAACTTTACGCGCGCCAGTTTCGCTCTTGACACGCAAAGCGAGAGTGATTCTCTGCGCGCGTGTGCGTAAACACAACAATCATCACGTGACAGGCTGCGCCGCTAAACTGGATATCGCTCATATTTTTTTCTCCCCTCCGATCTCCGATCTAGCGTTCTGGGCCGGTATCGGCGCGATACCGATGCCGTGGATCGGATCGGGACATCCCTATTCTTAACACCTGAAAAGTGGATTGATTTGATTTGTGTTTAACAATTTAAGCCACACAAAAATGTAACATTATTTATAATCTTAAATATTGGCCTATTTTACTTAATGAACCTAGTGATAACATTAAAAAGTCACAATGATACAATAGTGATAGCCTGAAAGCCACTGCTTCCAAAGTACACTGTAAAAAAATATTTTCGTGATTTTTAATCACAACATTTTTTTCTTTTGTCAGATCATTTATGTAGCCTAGTTCAGATAACATAATATTTTGAGTTTCTGGTGATTAAATTAATCTCCTTCATTGTATTAACTCAATTTTTCCATTTCAATTATCTTAAAATTTTAAGGCAACCAGGTTATTTTTTTTTTTAAGTTAAACCAACAATATTTTTTTACAGTGTATGCAAGAACAGCTCAGGGAAACTGGAAAGTCATAAACATTGAGCAAGAAGAATAAGTTAAATGTGGGGGCAAACTGTCTTTAAAAATCAGACCATTTGAGTCAATGATCACAAGGGTATTTTGATCAAGCCAAATGCTCTCATGCAATCTGGGATATTACCCTTTTGCTCACCATAATTCTTTCAAAACCAAACGAGTGATAGCAGCAGCATTACGCAAAAAAACCCAATCACTAGTAATGCCTCAAATTGAAAGCTTTGTTGAAATGTCAGTAAACAGCGACTATAGGGATTTAAAACTATTTCTTTCATTGGTTATATAAATCCACTTGTCCTAATGTTTTAAAAACATTGCTATTCAGAAAAAGAGAGAAGAAAGCTAAGCTATTAATGTGCTGCAGGGGTAAAACCGAGCTCTAAGCGAACACCGCTTCCCACCGCCCTGCTTAATTTGCCTGATTGCTCCTGGAATACGAGACCCCCCCCCGGCCAATCCAGTCATGAGAGGTGAACCCAAGGCACTGCACGGCAGACTGCAGTCTCACCCGGGTCCAATCCTCTAAAGGGGGTTTTAACCTGATGGGAGAGGGTCAGGATATCCACACATGCAATGCCTCCGCCTCAAACGATCTGCTATTAGCCTCGTTTTGGAGAACCATTTAGCCCTGGGTTACAAGAATCACATACAAAAACATCACTACTTAAAGTCAGCGTGAAACAGAAGTCGTGATAGTCTTTCCTTATTTTGACGTAGGCCTAAGTGAAAAGGCTTCTATGACATTATAAAAATCCAGGGAAGATTTTGATTGTGTCCATCTGGATTTGATTAGACCATTGTGGTTTGCAGTTGCTGTGATGTCATGTGTGTGACAAGTTGTCCCACCCACACAGTCACACTAGCATGAATTTATGTGCACATTAATGATTTATAACAAATGTCTATTTTGATTTCATAGTGACCTTAAAGGAATAATCCATCACAAAATTTCAATAGTCACAGCACATAAACAATATGCACAAAAATAAAATCCAATTTTACATGACAAGAACAACTTTAGGCTACAGCTCAAATAAACGTTTTAAAATGCAAGTGCTTTAAATACAAAATTGTAAGATTCACATTTCCGCCAATCTTTTTGATGAAATCTGATATGCTACCAACTACACAACTACCACTTTTTTGGGTGCGTCAAAAAGTTCATAAATAGACTGCCGAAGTTACGACGTCACTTTGAAGGCCAAAACGCTGAATTTTAGCACTCCCGGTTCCATAGCCCATACACTGTAAAAAATATTTTCAAGATTTGTTATCACAACATATTTTCTTTTGTCAAATCAACTTTATAATAATTTATCTAGTTGAGATAACTTATTATTTTGAGTGTCTGATGATTAAATTAATCCCCTTCATTGTATTAACTCACTTTTTCCAGTTCAATCAACTTAAAACTAAGACAACCAGGTTACTTACTTTTTTAAGTTAAACCAACAATATTTTTTTACATTGTATGGGTTTTTTGAATGTATTTTTGCTGAATCGCCTGAAATAAGGTCTGTGGTGAACAAACACTCTAAAAAAATTGATGTTTTGATCTATGAGATAAAACACACCAGTTATAACCTGCTTGTGGTTTTTTAAACTTTATATAGGCTTCAAAATGTATAAATTTTGTATTAACTTTAAAGATTATCTTGATAAGACAAAACAGAGTCACAACTCTTTGTTGAACACAGATCTTATTTTTTGTGATTTTCCAAAAGTCTATGGGGAAAACGCATAACTTTTCGATCGAGGGAACCCATGCACCGCTAACTTCCGAGTTGTCCTACAAAGTGACGTCATAACTTCGGCACTCTACAGATCGTAAAACTAATCCATATATGAATTGATTATGACTATAAATTGCACTATAATAGATAGATTGAATTTACGCTTTTATTCATATAAACATTTTTCATCAACTCACACATCGGATCCGGTAACCGGAAGCTGAAGCATGTTCGCTTGACATGCTAGAACCAATGAGGTTCATTCTTGTGTCACGCAGCACGTTTGAGCTTCAGCAAGAACCAATGAGGTTTGTTCTCACGCATCAAGCTGGTTCGGTTGAGCTTCTGTTTATGTTCACAGATAAAATTTGGACTAAACCATTCAATTTATATGGATTAGTTTTAAAATCTCTTAAAATTTTTGAAGCATCAAAGTCAGTAGAGGGATAGAAAGCGCTCAGATTTCATCAAAAACAAACAAAAAAAAAATCTCCATTTGCATTCCAAAGATGAAAGAAAGTCTCACTGGTTTGGAAAGACATGAGGGTGAGTTATTGATGACAGAATTTACATTTTTGGGAGATCCATCCCTTTAAAGTGTTCATACCGAAATGCACTGAATGATGAATCAAAGGCAAAAAAACTGAATCTGATGTTAAGAGAGACTTGCACACAACTAGCTGACTCAACGTTCACCACTCTCAGCTTTTCACCGCTAGAAGCGGTCTGAAATCTTCCTTTATTGACTCAAGGTCATATTCCGGGTTTCTCTGCATTGCCGGCAAGGTCTCCATTCTTTCTTTAATGAAAAACTCAATTTGATATTTATCTTGCTGCGTACAGAGCCACACAAATTGTGAGCCACCTATTTTCATGCCCCCGTTTTCCATCTGACTCCTTCATTCACATTCAAATTGGAGATAAATTCCTGCATGACCACAGACATTTAACGTCACGGTGATTCAACGAGGAGGCTCAAAAAACCCTGTCATTTCTCATCATTGAATCTTCCAACCTTTCCACCCAATGCAGCTTTTTAAATAGCAAAACAAGAGCCTCTCACCCTAATCCCAAAAACAAACCACTCTGAACGCCTCATGCTGCCTGAACATGTTTTGCTGTGCACTAACAGATATGCCATAACCACCACGGCACTGATTTCTCACAAAGCTGCTTTTTCAGCGCCTACAGCCAATATTTCCCAAAGAATCTGCTCAGACTGACAGTCAGTGTACCACAGATAAACAAGCATGTGCCAAAACACTTGACAAATGTTGACCAGTCTCATGCATGTCGTTTGATTACCTGGTGGGTTTGCAGCTCGCTTTGACCGGGGTGGTGGATTTCACGCCACAAGAAGGTTAATCTAAACCTCAATGAGAAACCTTAAGACTCCAATTACTTCGTCAGCACTATAATATGAGCTCCTTAATACATTAAAGGCTTAAATGAAGCCACAAATCTAATTATAAACTAACAAGCACATTCCTTTTCACAATCCTATCAACTAACGTTAAACACATACTGATACAGTATCTGATCATGAGTAAATGTTGTCCTAGTGTTGATAAGCACTCATTTGGGATGATGATGCACTGTTTGCACATATTGACATTTTTGTTCTATTAACTTGCTTACACGGAAACATAACCTTTAGATTTGGGTCAATACCAGGCTGCCATTTCAGTAAAAAATTTGAGAAAAGAAGAAAATCACTAACGTTACGTGTAACAACACGACTGATTCAAATAACAAACAGGCAAATACATTCGTAACAATAACTTAACATTAACCACAACTCTTAAGAGAAAGAGTCACTGACCTGGAAACATGAAAGAACCAAACGACTAAAATAATCCAATTCAAACGCAGGAGACAATTAACTTGACCGGTCCAAACTTCTTTCTCTTCTCCGGCTTGTTAGCTTGCTAACTGCTAAGTTAGTCGACCCGTTTAACTCAGCGCGACGGATAATGTCGAGTTGGGATGGACGGATAGAACTACACTTTCATTTTCAGAGCTGTTTATATGTTTATAGACGCGTTTGGAAAACACAGGGGCAATGTGGGTGTTTGTAACAGAAAACAGCTCCAGATCAGACTAGCAGGCTGGCTAAGCTAAGCTAAACAGTGGAGAAGGTAAATGAGGTTCATGATCCACAGAGACTTTGAGCTGTTTCAAAACTAGTGAGCTGCCTACCTAGACAGCTTTTGGGGGTCGGTCGAACACGCCCAAAAATGCTGTCTGTGTAGACAGCTCTCCGTGTATTGGTACAGCCTTTTTGGGCTGCTGTTATGCTAAAGACGGACACCTATAACCTAGCCTGCTAACTTAACGTTACCCATTCCCAACACTAGCCATTATCTATGCGCGGTTATTAATTCTGCACCTCCGGGGCGCAACCTAGACAGAAGCTAGGACTACTGACGCTATTTTAAGTTAGCAAGTTAGCTGGTCCAGAATTCAAAGAAAGATCCACTTACCAAGTTTATATCAACCAGAGAGAGGCAGCTGCAGCGAGACAGTCTTCAACCCAGATAAATGAATATAGCATGGGAGGATTTCAGCCTGATCATCATGTAAGCCTTAGGGAGAGTCGAGTGTCCCGGTCCGAGCACAGAGTGAGCGGTGTGTCTCTGCTGGGCTGAACCCACCAGAACTAGAGCCTCGAGCCTGACTGTCCCTCTCTTGCACACTGGTCTCTATCTCCACAGGCTACTGCGCACACATTCGCCGCTAGTGGGCAGCAAAGTAGAGCTATACAATCAGAGTTTTATTATTTAACCTCCTTGATGAAGATTAACGGTGATGGATAATTAATGCACATAGTTATTTAATCTTTGTGCATTTAATCTATTTCTTACAAACCGTATCAAACTTGTTTTGTAGGCTATGTGTTCAATTACATGCCATGACAGTTCCAAACCAGAAATCAGATATTTCTGTCCCTCCTGTCGTCCGCCTACCCAACTACCTCTGTCTTTGAACATTAAAAAAAGTTCTTAACCCTCAGGTGCTCTTCGGTCATTTCTGACCGAAAAAAAATCTGTTTTGAAATTTTAAAAATCACAGCTTCTTCAGAAAATTACGAAACTTGGTGACTTTTATGGCATTGGGTATGTTGTGGACACAAAAAAAATTGAGGTCATGATTCGAGCAATTTAAGTGGTCGTAAACAAATGAGTCACACTTTTGCTCTTCTGTCAAAAATGACCGACCCATAGGAAATGAATGGAAAATTGACAAAAAAAAATTCTCTGAATTTTTATACGTGCAATCTACAAATCGGCCACAATTCTAAAAAAAAAAAAAATTATACCGCAGGAAAGGGGTGACAGAGAGTGCAAAACAGACACACCCACCAACACACACACACACACACACATACAAACACACTTTTATACACATACACACTAATACATTTTGATTACAAAAAGTATGTTTTGAATTTTAAAAAATCACAGCTTCATCCCAATGTTACGAAACTTGGTGACTTTTATGGCATTATGTATGTGAACACAGAAAAAAAATTGAGGTCATGATCTGAGCATGCTAAGTGGTCTTAAAAAAATTGTACAAAAAAATGAAAAAAAATGTGAATTTTTGTTTTTTGTAAAAAAAATTTATAAGAAATAGTTTTTGAGATTGTTTCAACTATATATTCAAATCCACCACCAACAACAAAAAATGTGTTCATGAACAGCTGGGGAATTCACATGCTTCTCCATAGATGCCATCTAGTGGTTACACCATGATTCTACGCTTTTTCTCTATACTGTAACCAGATGGTGCTAATTTTCTTCAAAAAAAAAAAAAACCTAGACTCTAGGCCTAGACTCTATATTAAACTAAAATACTGCATTAATGTTGTTTTTGAAAAAAATAATATATATATAGAAAAATATATTATATATATATTTCCATGGCAAAAATAAACCATAAATATTGAATAAATATTAATAAATTCAATTAAATTGTCTCAAAATACTAAATTAAAAAGAATAAATATTATAGAACAAAAATAAATTGCATTGGTTTTACTGGGATGGAGAAAGTTTCATTTTTAGGTGTCCGGTCACTTTTGACCGGGAAGATAACAAGTGTGACTCGAAGATAACAAGTGTGACGAAGAGCACCTGAGGGTTAAAGTGATCGCAAAACGTATCCATATGAATTGAGTGGTTTAGTCCAACATTTTCCGAAGAGATTCAATCGCTTTATACAGATGAACAGGTTGTATTTAGTCTTTTATTCACATAAATATTCATCAACTCAAGCTCTCGCAGCACGTTTGAGCTTCAGCAAGAACCAATGAGATTTGTTCTCGTGCGTCAAGCAGGTTCGGTTGAGCTTCAGTTTATGTTCGTTGATCAATATTTATACAGTATGTTTATACAATATACAGTAGACTAAATACAATCTGTTCATCATATAAAGCGATTGAGTCTCTTTGGAAATTTGTCAAAATGACAGGCAATGGAGAGACATTAATTTGTATTCCGAAGATGAACTAAAGTCTTATGGGTTTGGAATTGGAACAATATGACAATGATTAGGTAATTAATAACATTTTAATTTTGGGGTGAACTAATCCTCTAATTGTCAAAAATCCAGTTTATATGATAGATTTCTTGTTGTAGATAAAGCTTCTCCATATTCCATTATCTCAAATATTAATGCCTTTTAACATCAAAAGTATAAGCCTGACAGCTGATCCTTGTCCCATGAAACGGTGGTGTGTCACTGGTTGGTTTGATATTTAAAACAAACATAAACTACAGCTGCATCTCAATCTGTCAGCAGCAGCAGGGCATCTGTGAGCATGGCTTGCGTCCACATCACACACTCATCAAAGCAGAGTGCATATCGGCCAGAGCTGTACTCTCCATCATTCTGACACTGCCAATGAGCCGCTACATTAACCACAGACTGTTCATTTACATTTGGAAGGCTGAACACTGCATGGCCACAGTATATATGCTTTGTATGATTTGTTTTAGTATGAACATGCAATATACGTAGATGCATGTGCTGTCCTAGAAGACATTCGTCATTTTAATGAACTTACTTTTTGGAGTATTAAGCCATACTAAAAAGTGTCAGGAGATTTTCTTTAAGCCATGGTGAAATTGTCTGGTTGTTAGATGTGATTTAATGTTGGGTAAGTTTTCAATGATATCATAATATCATATACATACTTGTTGCAACAAGACACTGGGGGGAAAAAATTGAAAAAATATATATCTTGCTGCTTACAGAGAGTATTTTTGTTGACTCTAACAAAAATTTCATGACTGTAGTGACTGGTTTTATTTCATGACTGTAGTGACAGTAAATTAATGTATGGGTTGAAATATGCTGCAATATAAATGTCTGTATCAGCAAATTAATAAAAATAATACTTTTTTAAATGATTAATAATATGTGAATAGGTTGCATGAGGGACCTTAATATTTTTAATTATTTGTCAATGTACGAAAAAAATGATTTACTAAACAGATAAAAGCAGTAAAGCGAGCAAGAGATAATCACTTACACAATTAACCTGAACAAATTAAGCAAAATAAAGCATACAAAAATAAATAACTGAGGTGTAAATGTACATCTATCTATCTATCTATCTATCTATCTATCTATCTATCTATCTATCTATCTATCTATCTATCTATCTATCTATCTATCTATCTATCTAATCTTTTTACAGTTTTTTTTATTCGCTTTGGTACTATTTTCACAAGTAAGGTGTACATTTTCAAAACTCTTAGTACAAAAATCCAAACTGATCACACTTGTAACGCAGCTATAGTCATTCTTTCAAAACCTGATGTAATGCTTTCAGTCAGTTGCACATGTTTTCAGTCCACATAATAATTATTTCAAACACAAGATTATTGTAATATGTAATGAGAACATTTGGTTTAATCACTGAAACACAACAATATGATCTTCTTTCAGTTTAGTACTTTTAACAATCAGTTCATCCAACAGCAAACAATGCAAGATACATGTTTCAAATCGGCCTTAGAAGTGCTGAAATGAATATGCTACAGTACTATAAAAGACAGATTACACAGTTTTACTGTAACATTAGGCAATACACTTACAGTACCCAACATTTACATAATCTATAATTTCCAAATATCCATCATATATGTAGGCCTAATCAAATGAAGGATCAATGAAGACATCCTTTACAATCATTTAGGCAAATTATAGTTTTTATTTTTCAGATTGTAACATAGGTATACTTTCTATAATGAAATGTAACTAAAGAAGAACAAAACATAACATTTAGTGCACACATTACTGTATATAGTGGCCAATTGTGGTCAGACTGTGAAAAAAATAGTGAAAAAAAATAATAGCTATAATGAGTATTCATCATGTGTGGTTACTGGTTACATGTAATTTAACTATTCATACAAACACACATTTTATTTCTGTAGTTCTCAAAATCCATATACTGTATATTGCTGAAATGAAAATCTATAGGTTTACCAAATTATTAATTGATTAACCATTAAGATCTGTTGGATTAAATAATAGACAAAAGTATTAAACTGAACAAAAAGAGATGCAAATCAAAAGTTTGATAGTAAGAGCTTTATGAAAGGCAGTTACTGTGAATGAAACAATAATGTAGATGAAACACTTATTTTGTGTTGTGAAAAGGACACTTTGTGATTGTGTGAATTGTACTAACACAGTTGAAAACATGATGAAATGTTTGAAAAAAGTGCACTTTTGATGATCTGTTGTGATATTAGCACTAAGAGTTTTGAAAATGTACACCTTACTTGTGAAAATAGTACCAAAGCGAATAAAAAAAACTGTAACAAACGAGTACATATTTCTGAGCACGCGAGGGGTATACATAGGGGACTTTTATTGCATTTTCTATGTACTATTACTTCCGTTTCGAGAGATTGAACTTTCAACCCGGCAGCGTTTTCTCTTTCCTTTCCTGTTTCGGCCTCGATTAGAGACACACATAGGTAAGAGAACACTGTTACAATCCGTTAAAATCCTACCTTTATAAAAAGTGTGCAATATAAAATCGAACTTCTGTAACGTCCCCAATCATCTCCAGTACCAGTAAAACGTGATATTTCTCCCATAAATAGTGATAAATGCAGTATTTTAAGCGGATTATCAGTAGCGGGGTCCTGCACCATATTGGTCCGCCTAGCGCAGCTGCACGAGCCGCTACAGTTACAAATATACTCGCTGCTTTACACTATGAGGGAAATGTGCTTAGTTTCTCGAACAAAGTAAACGTCTTCGTTATAAATATCTTACACGTTTTAATGCTGAACGTAACGTTAAGTTTGTTAGCGTCTAAAAACAGGTCGGTAAATCCTTTGGCCTTTCTGGATTTGTTTCCCCAAGTATTTCATGATAATAGCAGTTAATGTTGAATTAAGTCAGTTTATAATGCTATGACTAACTAGTTTAAACTCTCAGTCGTACACCAGAATATCTTCTCGAATGTAACGTTATTAGAAGAGCATGTCAATAAGAGAGACCTTGTTTAACTTAATATTTAGACCTCAGGGTCTGAATTATTATGTGACGATTAATTTTTTTTCATATTACGTTGACCTGACTGTTGAATATTGATGTTTTTCAGCAATGGCACCTCGCAAGGGTAAGGAAAAGAAGGAAGAGCAGGTCATCAGTCTGGGACCTCAGGTTGCCGAAGGCGAGAATGTTTTTGGAGTCTGCCACATTTTCGCATCCTTCAACGACACCTTTGTGCATGTCACTGACCTCTCCGGCAAGTAAGTAACACAAAAATGTGAAGAGAAAAAAAATTGTATGTAATATGCATAGAAAAAGCAAAAATACTAGCAAAATGTGTGCCGAGTAAGTTACATTGATATGTTAAACAGTTTTGTCAATATCTCAATCCTTATCGTAGTTTACCCAAAATTAATTTTTTAACTTGGTCACCCTCTCAATTCAAACCTGTGTGATGTTCACCATAAATAATATCTTTATTCTGTGTAATAAGTGAAAGTAGACTGGGACTGTCAAGCCTCAAAATTATACAGCAAAGTAACGTTAGGTCATACTCTTATGCATATCATATGGATGTTAAAGGAATAGTTCACTTTGAAATTAATTTTTGATATGTTTTAGCTTACCTCAAGGGCATCCAAGATGTAGGTGTCTTCGTTTCCACAGCATTTTCAATTTTTACATTTTTTGGTCAAATCGTTGTTGTCTGTCAGTCCTATAATGCAGTTTTAGGGGGTCCACCTCAAAGAGCATGAACAGAGAAGTCAAAATTAAACATGATTTAATGACTCGTCAATGCAAGTACACATTGATGGCCTAAGACACGAAACGAGCGGTTTGTGTAAGAAAACGAACAGCATTTATATAGTTTTTACCTCTTGTTAACAGCCGTCGAACTGATCTGAATCAGATGAACCGTCTCCAGACGTTACGCCGGAAGTGATCTCTCGCGCGTTTACATCACGCATTGTTTAAACAGATTTCGGAAGTTTTACCTTTCACTAAACATATTTAAATATATGCGAAATCGCAATGGAAGACGATTTCAATATATCTAAATATGTTTAGTGAAAGGTAAAACTTCCGAAATCATTGAACATTTTGCCAATAGTAGGAAAAGAGTTGGAAGTGTTTAAGTTATTGTTAAATCAACTTTCCTATGGAAAAATTTAATGTTTGTTTTCCGGAACCTGACTTTTGCAACAAGATTTATGTAAGTTGATATAATGCAGGCTGATGGTGTATATTGCTATAAAAAAATCTGTTCCCCTATGGAGAATGAATGAATTCTGATTGGTCTTTTTTTTTGTTGCCATGTTCATTTCATCACGTGAAAAGCACTAACTGCTAATGGGGCGTACTAGATTTTTGTTTATAATTCATTTAGGCGGACAACAAGGCTACCAAATACTTTGCACAGTGCACAGCTAATTTAATGGGGTTTTTTTTTTCTAACGTCATTTTTGGTCAAATTTCAGGACTTCAGTCGACCAATATTTTCTTTGGTTGAGTACAGCCCTAAATATTTGATATTTTAAATATGATTGATCACACAAGTTGATGGCATGTGGATAGAAGATGAAGTTACATTCAGCATCTATGGTTCTTGCACATTTCGCCATACAAACCCTGGTCTTCAGTGACTTAAATTTTGGTCTTCCTCTTATAAAGGCCTATTGTTTTGTTTTTCATTAAATTGTGTGCCCAGTATTTTCTTGGAAGAAAGTTTAGGTCCATGTGATGTTGACTTAATTTTTGGGTGAACGAAATCTTTTGAGGTGATTTGATGTTGCATCCTGGTGGTGATCATCTTCTGATTGAGTTTTCCTTCCTCTTGATCTTCAGAGAAACGATCTGCCGTGTTACTGGTGGGATGAAGGTGAAGGCCGACAGAGACGAGTCCTCCCCTTATGCTGCGATGTTGGCAGCTCAGGATGTGGCTCAGAGGTGCAAGGAGCTGGGGATCACTGCCCTGCACATCAAGCTGAGGGCCACTGGTGGAAACAGGTGAGACCTTTACAGACCCGGACTGATGAGATATGTCGTATTGTGGGTTTATGGGAATGAAGAACATGGGCTTGCATCATGATTTACTTGCTCCTTTTCCCCCTATAAGAACCAAGACACCTGGACCGGGGGCACAGTCTGCCCTCAGGGCTCTGGCTCGTTCTGGCATGAAGATCGGCCGTATCGGTGCGTTAATCTAATGAGGACTGATCTCTGTTCAGTGGCTTATAAAACTGTTTCCATGAGGAAGTCTCATTTACTTTCACTTTCTTTTCCAGAGGACGTCACCCCCATTCCATCAGACAGCACCCGCAGAAAGGGAGGTCGTCGTGGACGTCGTCTGTAAACTATTGGATTTTTTCAGAATAAAGTGTCAAATAATACTTTCGCCTCCTGTTTTCACTGAAGCACAAGTTGATTTCTTATGATTGCTGTGTTTGGCTTCCTTTAGCTGATTATACATGTCTGACCGGTTTAATGTATAATGTTCTGGTGTTTTGAAACTGAATGAATGAATGCTCGGGGAATACCAAGAAAACATCTTTATTCAGATTATGCCAGAACATTCAATTTCCTCATTTCAGAAAGTATTTTAAGATGCGCACAGTCTGAAATTAGGATTCAAAGTTCAAATAAGAAAAACTAAAAATCTGTTCTGAAATTTGAGACTCGTTTACAAGTAATATCAGACTGCAACATATGACCACCTGACCATACAGACTTGCATAAAACGTGTTGTGCTGTAATTGAGTGGTTTTATCTGCACCAAGTTGGGAGACTCTGAGTGTATTTACTGTAATTTAATTACTTTTCTTAAATTATTCACTCAATTTCTGTAATTTAATGAGTTGCTTCAAATGTAGTTGCATTAGACTATAGGACAATTCTATGTAAAACAACAGTGGATTAAACATCAAAATTCAATTTCAAATGTTAAAATATATGTATTTAAAAAATATATGTATATAACTTGGAAAGGGATTTAGAACGAAATGTAATTACATACGTTAGAGTTATTAGTACACTAATCTAATTACACTGTTGAAGATGTAATTAATTAGCCTGGCTAGTATAATTACTTTAGTAACTTGCCGAACACGGGACAAACAAGATAAGTGAAAGTTAAACTTTAATATGTAATTTAATCATTTAAAATACAAAAATAACTATATCTAGTTTAATTATGATGATCAGTGTCAGATATTAACAAAATATAAGTAGGCTACTGTCATTATTTATGGCTTTTTTGCACATTTATGTTTCAAACGGATTTTTATTTTGTTTGTTTTTTTTGCAAGAGGCGCCATAAAAAAAGTCTCACAAAATCAACTGCGCCTCTAATTACTGACAAATTTCCTTAAAATGTTGAAAATCGCAATTCAAAATTCGCACAAAGAATGCATGAGGCTATGAGAGACTCGAGGAAAAGTTATTCAAGTTCGCGTTTGTCTGACAACTGATGATGCAGCGCGTCTTATCCAATGAAATAATGACCTCCATCTGCTCTGTAGACACTTTCATCCCAGTGTCACACTGCTAGACTCTCAGTTCTCAAGTTTTCATATTAGAGAGCTGTTACAAAAATCCCTTGATCAAATTACCAACATTTTGGGAAGTTTCTGACTGTAAAGCAGAAATGTCGACCGACGGAACCGAGGGGCCACTTCTCAGAGCTCAAAGTGAGCAAACTACAATCAACATGGGACCTCGGGGAGGGTGAGGAAACTTTGGCTTTTTATTTTATAAACGAATCTTGTTTTTTTTTTTTTTTTTTTTTTTCAATCATATATGCTAAATGCAGGTCAACTAAATTTGCTGAGTGGTTGAAAAATGTAAATAAGCAGGACATTTTGCTGGGTGGTCCGTAAATAAGCAGAAAAAAATGTGTAAAAACATATGAAACATCACTATACAAGTCTTCATTAGCAATGCTTCAAAAAAAAAAGTAATCTATAATGCATTGTGTAAGAAATATTGTTTTTTGCGTTTTTTTGTCTGCGTTTTTTGTCATCGCGATGTTTTTGATGCGTATCACATTATTGCTTGTATTCATAACTCGGTACAATTTAAAGTGATATCTCACCCCACTAAAATATTTTTTGTTATCATTTTCTCACCCACAAGTTGTTCCAAATCTGTATATGTTTCATTTTTCCTTTCTTCTGTTGTAGTCAAAATAAGATATTTTGAAGAATGTCGGTAACTTCCCCATGGAGTCCATCAACTGCCTGGTTACCGACGTTCATCAAAATGTCTTCTTTTGTGTTCAACAGAAGAAAGAAACTCATACAGGTTTGGAACAACTTGTGGGTGAGAAAATGATAGCAAAAAAATATTGTTGTGGGGTGAACTATCCATTTAAATGACCAAGCGCTATTATTCAGTTTTTTAGACTGTTTTTGTTTTGTTGTGAATAATGTTAACCGAAGTTTATCAAACATCTGTCCACTTGACACAGAACAGTTTTCATCCGAGCGTCTTTTTTATAATTTGTTAGGTGCCGCCACCACAGCATGTCACTCTTATTTTATTTGTATATTTATGTAATTTTTAACAAGGTACATTATGAAATCTCAGAATATAACCGCAGCCTTGAGCATATTATATAGTCACTCGTATATGAATCCACTTGTTCTCTGTGTCCCAGCAGATCTAACAGTCGGGCCCTGAAGGTGGCAGGAGTGACTCTGTTGGCCGGGATACTGATCGCAGGTCAGGCCTTCACCGCCTACATGTCGTACAACCACAGAGAGCAGCTCAACACCCTCGAGAGACGCAACGACCGCCTGCATGAGCTCAGCCGCAAGTTTGGTCAGAGAACTACCATCTTATGGGCTTCCGTCAATCTTACCATTTAAACCCATTACCATAGATGTCATCTAGACTAGAAGCAAATTAACTCTGGCTTTCTTCCCTTTTTTGTGCAGTCATGCGCAGTCAAGGGGTTCCCATGAAAATGCAGCTCCCTATGAGCTCCCTCGCTCTGACGCTTGAGGACTCGCCCAAAGACAAGGTGAAACTCATTTCCTCTTGATCGTGTTGTAATGTGAACAAGCGGACACGTGGTGTCAGGATTGAGCCAGGAAATCAAATCAAGTTTTAGAGCTGTGTTTTTTTCTGACGGGTTTGCTTTTTAGACGTTGACACTATCGGTCAAAAGTTTGTTTGGGATAATTCATTTTAATGTTTTTGAAAGAAAGGATACATAACAATATATAAATCCTGCCATCTACAACTCCCTCAAGTGTTATTTGTCTATTTTTCAGGATTCCCCTTCCTCATCTCCCAAACCAGGTATCAAGATCTTGTCATTGTCAAACACCAGATTTAGTGTCCTCGGCTCACACACACACTCATGTGTGCGCTATTCATTTGTGTCCCACAGAGCCCAGTGTCCTGTCTCAGTGCCTGAAGGAGGCCGCCGGGGTGGTCAAGAGTCCCCTGCCGTCCTTCCGCCCCAGGTGTGATGAGAACGGGGACTACCAGCTCAAGCAGTGCTGGGATGAGACTAAATGGTGCTGGTGTGTGGACAAGAGCGGCGTTCAGATTCCTGATTCGATGACCGAGGGTCCTCTTCAGTGTTCCGGTATGAGCTGAATACTTGTGTACTACTGTGGCATAGATGACCCAAGTTGTTACAAACATGTCTGAATTTCTTTCTTCTGCTGAACACAAAAGAAAATACATATTTTAAGTGTAGTAATATAGCTCTGATAAAAGCATGCGTCACTGTTGTTTATTTTAGCTGATGCTGATACAACAGTGATGGAGCCTCTGGTGGGAAAAGATGGCCACTGAAGAAGAGCAGTGAAGAATACTTCTTAAATATCACAATCTGGTGTCTTTATCTTTATCATCTTTCACATTTACTTTAGAATAATAGCTTGGTTTGAGGTAAGCATTTTAGCTAGATATTTTGCTGTCGTGAAAATCTGAAAGTTAATTGTGCTTCGTATTGTACTGGTAATAATGACAGACTTTAATAGATCATCTGTAGCAGTGTTGACCTTTTATAAAAAACTTTCACTTTAATAATAGAATTGTACTATTGTTGTTGTTTTTTAACTAACATTTAATTGAATATTCATAGACTGGTTGATGAGAGATAACTGTTATATTGAAGGATGGGAAATGTATAATGGAGAGCAAACAGAGATGGCCAATAAACATAAATTCTAACCATTTGTGTGATTCTGTCTGGATGTGAATTTCTGTGACCCAAGGGATACTTGCAAATATTTTAGGGATCTTTAAATTAGCATGCATAATTTAAGGGTAGATCAAACACACACACACGATTTTATCATATGTTCAATTCTGGGTATGCTTTTCATGTTGTGGGTCAAACTGATCCTAAGTAAATTCAATACAATTAAAAAAACAACAACATGAGAACAAATAGTTTTTACAACTATTGAATTTAACCATTTGTTTAAAAAAATAATCTTATGAACAGATTTGTTACTTTTTTTGTTAATTTAAAATTTTGATCTCTTTTAAAAGTTTTATTTTTATTTGTTTTAAAATTATATGTAGTTTTTTTTTCTTGGGCCGTGAATAACCAGGAAATTGTGTCAAATTGACCCGTGACCATGAAAATCGGCAAAATTTTGTTCATGCATTCCTAAATATCACCTAAATATCAAAACATTGCAGGCATGTTCATGAGCTTTAATGAGAAAATCACAAAATGTTCATGAATATTCATTTTAAAAATTTCAAAAGATTCATATATTTATATATATTCTAGCTTAACCAGTATTTCCGATTTGTCAAATTGACCCCAAACATAATATAAGGGTTAACAAGTGATTGGGTTGTACATCATGGCCCAGATTTAGTTCTTTTTGTTAACACTTTTTCTACAAAAAAATAAATAAAATAAAATGAACTGCTTGCATACATTTTTTTCTAGAGAGCAATTTGAGATTTTGTTCCTTAAAATAAAACATTTTCATAAATTCTTGGAAAAAACAGCCTGTACGTAAAAGAATCTCTTAAAAAACAACATATCGTGCATTATTGAAATAAGCACAAAGCCAAAACAAAAGAACATCAAGCAAAGAAAAAAACCTCAATATTGATAACTACTGTTTTCAAATAATTCTTTATATAGACAAATGATGTATTACAATGTAAATTACACTTTAAAAACATACCACTTGAATTCAATCCCGCATCCGAAAACCAACTGCGTGTGAATTAGTTTTCATGCTCTAATTGGGCTACTTCCTGTTTTCTATTTCACTTCCATTATTATTCATTACAAGCAGAAGTGATAGAGTTGAGAGTGGTAAAGTGCAACATATATTTATTCAAAAAACTATATCAAACATTTCAGCAACTCAAGTCCAGCAACATCTGATATTTGACAGGTACAGGAAATGTTCAATGCCAGACATTATTTATTTACAAGAGTTTGTTGGGCCTGATTGTTCATCCGTTTTAGTGCAAACTTCTATTAAAAAATAAATGATTGGCAAAAATATTCATGTAACAGACTAGCCAGAAGCATATGAAGGACTGATAAGAAAAGTTTTGGCCATTTGCATCATCATGAGGAATTTTGGGTATATATAAAAACAAGCCATGGAACAGCAAAGCAGCACCCACCAATTAGAAATAGAAAACAGCCTAACACTGCTAACCAGAGAAGCTCTCAGTTATTGTATATACACACAGTGTCATTTAAATACATCCAGTTGTTCTGTGGTGTGATGAGTGGCACCCTCAATCGAGACGTTCTTTGAAAGAGGCACTGTTTTTCTGAGATTGTTTTATATGGCTCCCTCTATCTCTTCCCGAATGAGCTGAAGTAGTTTTTGACGGTCTGCTCGATGTTAGGCACTTGATAGCTCTGAGCGGCATAGATGCCAGTGCATGTTCCTACAAGAACTCCCAGGACCGCAGAGGAGCGGAGCTTGGCCACCACATAACCAGCCAAAAAGCCTTTGAGGAAGGGAGAACTGAGCACACTTCCACCCTAGATGGAGGAAGAGGGCAAGAGACGGAGAGCGAGAGAGGAAATAAAGAACTTCATTAAGCAAAATGATCATGCAGACCCTTTTCACATCTACGGGGTTCACTTACATTTCACGAGGCAATCTAGAAAGTAGAGCAGTCGTATAATGCGGCTTCCAGAAGTAAAAAATACCATTTGTTTTCTCCATAAGGGAATTGATTTTGTTTCAGACCAACTGTAAGACACGAGGTTGCTAATCGATGGTTTATGCTTTTATTGAAGCCACTTTTTTATTTGATCAATTTAATGCTAGGGTAATAGTAGAGATTTGTGAATTTTCATTTGTATTATTATTATTATGTTAATGAAATATAACCACGCTAGATTAACATTGTTCATTGTTGCAGGAATCACAGTCCGTGAAAAGGGTCCAGAGTTTGACAAAAATATACTGAACTACTATTGAAAAATATTGACACATTTACTAAAGAGAATATCTATATCCGTAACCTTTACATTATTTTTGGATACTTTGATTTTTACCCCACTAAAAAACAAAGCTTGCTTTGTGATACATTTTACTTACTTCCTTGGAAAATTTGATTTACATAAATGTAAATTCACCAACAATAAACCTGTTTTTCTTGTTTGTTTGTTTTTTGAAAGAATTTAAAATTAACACTATTTCATCTTCAGTAGATAACAAAGCAAGTAAAACAACTTTAATTTGTACACTCTAACTGATGTATAAAATAATATGACAAAAAAATGTGTTTGACAAAAATATATAAACTCCTGCCTGTGGAATTCCAACCCCAACTTCATCCTCCATCCGACGCTGAATGTCTTCAAGCTGGCCTTTCAGCAGAGACAGGTCTTTTAGCTGCCGGAATGGGTCCTGTTCAAGAAACATAAAGACATAAAGAAATGTAAGTTACAGCAAACAAACAACCCCCCGTCATCATAGTTGCGGTTGATGGGAATGTCAGCAGAATGAGTCATCGCGGGTGTGCCAGCAGAAAAGAGATCTTACGTTTCATCAAAAAAAATATATATATTTAAAACATATTTAGGGATATGGATAAAATACAGGTTCTATAATAACTGCCAAATACGTGACAGGGAAAACACATAGAGTGATGTCTGCTGAACTGGACAGGGTCACTAACTCAAACACTGAACTTAACTGCAGAATTGGTTTTCTTTCTGTTGTTTCGCGGGCTCTAAATGCCATGACTAAGTAGCTAAACAGTAATCGAGAACAGTACTAAATTTACAGAAATTAAAGTGACTTGTAAAAATTCTAATTAAATTCGGTAGCACACCAACCTTGTCCGCCATGACTGTTTGCGTGGGATCAGCGATTCTGAGCTCGATTAAGCAACCTGAAACCTACATAAATGGCGCTCTATGTTCGATTACAAGGGTCTGTCTCGTTCTCTTCTTTTCAGGTTTTAATGGCGGTTGACAAACAACGAAATGATTAATTACCACCACCGACTGGTATGGAGTGCGGATTCAAATGCCTTCCTCTAATTCCCTTTTTTATATTCTCTCCCACAAATTAATATATTGAAAAAGACAATTTTGTTGAATATCTGCTTGTTTAAACTGCCTGTTTTATCTTTGCATAAATTTTGTTTCAGAATCCTTCTTTCTGACGGTGTTTCTACTTGTCCACACTAATCACTCCTTTCTGTATTGTTTCCTCTTATAAAGTGTACATTTAGTTTTGTGTATACAAATCTTAACCTTGAAATTATCTCATCTCATTTCATCATCATTTCTCTTATCATCATTTCCTCTCTTCCTCATTGTTTTAGCCACCTTTCGTTCACTCAATATTTCAATGCTTTAAAGCATTGCAAAAGATTAGGCGGCAGGCCTATAAAACATGATCATTTAATACTTTAAAGTAAAACTTACAAAGTGTACGTTTTAATAGTGGGCTGAAGTGTGTGAAAACTGTCATGTTTTATTTAATTAATATTACATAGTCTGCATCCTACAGTTTTAAATATAAATATACATTTAAAGGGATAGTTCACCCAAAAATGAAAATGTTGTCATCGCTTACTTACCCTCATGTTGTTCCAAACCTGCATGAGTTTCTTTTTTCAAAAGAAGATATTTTGAAGAATGTTGGTAATAAGACAGTATTTGTTTTCCTACTATGGACGTCAATGTCTACCATCAACATTTGGTTGTCAACATTCTTCACATTATCTTTGTGTGTGTGTGTTCAGCAGAAAAAATAAACTCATACAGGTTTGGGAAAAAAACATGAGGCTGAGTAGTAAATGATGACATTTGTTTGTGAACTATTCCTTTAAGATTCGAAGTACACTACAAGTGTATACTAAATACATTTAAGCGCACTTCACATTCAAAAGTCAATTGAGACGGTTTATGCTTTATTTTCAGAATGTATGAAATTATTTTCCATATTTCAACAACGATGTATTTAACCTATTTCATAACCTACAGGAACTGTGGCTTAGACATAAGCCTGTAATGGATATGGCACTATGCTATCGTTACAGCAGCCACTGATTAGAAACGCGCGCGCCCATTTGTGACTGCAGAAGCAGACAGACGCTCGCGACAGAGAAGTCGTTGCCGTGGCAACCAGTCCAAAGTGATGATGCAAACGGAGGCTGGACGATGACGGACTTCGCTTGAATTCATGACGGGAGGAATTAAGGTGGACCAACACAACGCAAACTACAAACCTTTACACCCCTCAGCTCTTTACTGACCACGACCATTTCTAAAAGAATATGTCATGTAAGAGGCATATTGTGTTTACAACTCGCGCTCGGTATTTAGCAACAGTAGCTTGCTAATCTCATTAAATCGTATCGTACGATGTTCCCCAGAAACGTTTTATGAAGTCCAATGAAGCTGTTATATTACAAATTAATAAAACATTCCTCTCATAAAACAATAACATTAACTCAAATGGCATAATTTGATAATGAAACAATACATAAAGGGCTTTTAAATGTACAGAAAGTTAACCACCAGTGTTGCACTCTTCACATTACAGATGGTGATTCGCTTTCTCGTGGTGTGGAACAGATTGGAGACACTAATTCTTCTCAGGAACACACGTCACAGTTTGTGCCCTGTTTGATTAATGAAGAAAAAAAATACTTCAACCCTTTTTTTCTGTATAGCCTATATTTCCATATACACATTCTCCATTTATAATATTTATTTACACCTACATTATTTTCAGCTATGTTCAGCCATCCTTAAGGCACCACCATGAGCTTAGGGGGGCAAAGAGAGCCAGCGAGAGAGGGACGGGGAGGGGGGCGAAGGAGGGGAATAGCTGCAGGCATTACTGAATTACAGAATCCACAGAGACACACACACACACACACTGACAGAGAGGGAGAGAGGCAATCTCACAAACAGCATCACTCTCAGCTTGACGAAACGACAGTGAACAGAATAGGGAAGCGAACAGAAGAGGAGCATTAGGCAACAAGACAAAGATGAGGTTGATTAGACAGCAGTGAAATTACCTGAGGGGGGAATAAAAGAGGGGATAGACGGAGAGAGGAAAAGAGGAGTGTGGGTTTTAATCCTTTTGGCATGTGAGAGTATCTCTGAGTGCAGTGGTCACCCTGTGTGTGAGTGTGTGCTGCAGAGTTTGTTGGTGGTGTTGGGACGCTTTGAACTGGAATGTATCTGAACTAACCTCAGGGGACTTTCGGGAAGACACCATGCTGGGCAAGGATTACATGCTCGCCATCATCATCGTCAACTATGACGGTAGGTGCACGGATGCATCTACACTTTCCCCTCCTCTTTGTTCTCTCTCTGCTTAGTGCACTCTCTACTACTTAGGCGTCGAAGTGAGAGGAAGAGTTTCTCTTCATCTCCAGACATTGTCTGTTGTTCACACGCTCCGCCGCTCGCTCACTTATGACTTTAACTAGCCTACAGGTGCTGTGTCATACTAGACCCACCCGACTTTTTAAAGACCCTGTTTTTGAGACTTAATTTCGCTGGAATTTTTTGCATCGATTGGTTTTTTCACACTCCAGACCAACACAATCTAAAAAAAAGTTGAAATTGAGAGGTTTGCCTGTTGATATTGTTGAGGGCCAGGCGTACAAGTGTTCATGGACAATGTCACCTGTGAGGTTTTGTTGGGATTATGCATCTGTTGGAGGATTAGATCATAGAAACACACATAACATGAAGACCAGTAAACTTTCCATGTGGTAGAGCTTGATATTGTTGCAATCATTTTGAATGATTTATACAAAGAGCTCCAACTGAAAATACTTGTTTATTAATAATTGTTGCAGCCTCCTGAGGTTGTGCCAAATGTGATACATTTAGCTATTATAATCAAAACAACGTACCTACCTAGTGAGCCGTGATGCTAAAAGTTGCTTCCAAAAGTGTTCAAATGAAACTTCCTAGTTATAGTGGGCTGATAATATGTTGAGTTTTCATCATAAACAACAACAGAAGATAATATTAACGGGATCTTAGATGGTTGTTGACCAGTAAACCATCACGTTACATGAAATAATATTCATATTCTGTTCAAAGGGGATGAGATTGATGAAAAGTTGATGTCCTGTGGTGTGACATGCTAAAACTCAATCTAAAACTCTATATTATTGACATGTCTATGCAAAAATTATTTATTCAGAGACTACATGGAATATAATAAAAATAATGTCACATCACAGGACCATTTAAAATGAACAACTGAAGCAAAAAAGTTGATTATAATCGTAAGCCTGAAATGTACGCCTAATATATCAGAGGATCCAAAATATGCACTTTGTTTAATAGACTCATATAAATTTGAACCTAAAACCGTGACGTTTATTATAAAAAGGACACATTATGCATCTGTACAAAGGGAGAAACTGTCCTCACCGCGTCCTACCCACGTCATCACTCTTAAAATAACTTCAGTTAAACACACAGAGAGGTGGTGTGTGTGAGAATGATTGTTTGTCTGTTGTCTCTGTACGAGACGCATTGAGTGATGGAATCGCTTCTCCAAAGGCAAAGGCATGGACACTAAGGCACTTAGGCACAATGCTGAGTGAACGCTGATGGCAGGAGCTCCTGTAGATGATCGATTGCATTTGCTGCAAATTTTCTTTACTTAATCAATTCTGTTGTACTTTCATTTACTGAAATGCTGCCCGCGTCCATGTGCGGATGTCTCCACAAGGGTGTTCAAAATAAAATGCTGTGTCTTGCTTCTTGATTTATTGAAGGCCCAAGGATTAAGTCCCAGATGGGTTTTTAGATCCACCTCTATTCTTAATCTTCCCGGTCTGACCTCACACGGACATATCTGAATTGGGATTATCTGACCACAGACATAACGCCATTGGGATTATTTTTCCCCAGATGTAGCTACAATTCTCTCTTTCTGCTTCTCTCTTTCTCTCATTTGTCCTGACAGATTTCAAAACTGGACATATTGGAGCTTTGTCCTTTTCTTGGCTTTTCGCAACATTCCCCTTTTTCTTCCAATAGTGCTTCTTGGGTTTTTAAAACCTGTTTATAATTGTTTTTTAAACAACTGTTTTTGCGTAGCAATGCATCTGCTATTACATTGCTAATGCTAATACAGCGTTAGCACTGTGTTGTTTGGTACAAGCACAAAAAAAGACATGAAATTCAAAATTCAGTAATTGAATTTTGCATGTGGGTAAATGATTTTATAATGATTACAAGTTGTCCACGTGGATTCACTACACTGACCAACAGAAAGCTCTTTGGTTTGAAAGAGACTTTTCTGATTGAAAGGATTAGAAAAAACCTTACACACAAGACAAACTAAGAGGACTAGAAACAGGTGTGCTAATGAATCAGTAGCCATGGTAACAAATGAGGAGCGGGGAAGTGGGGAACATAGGAACAGAACACAGAAAACTAACTTGCCATGACCAATAGAAAGCTTCTTGGTTTAAAAGTGACTTCTGTGTGAGATGTGCTTCATACATACAGAATTGACATTACACAATAGACCAATTTTGCCCCCCAAAAATGTTGTTTTTGGTAATGTGTTGCATCTTAAATCTGTAGTGTAGAAGGGTTATAAAAAAATATTTACAAAGCGTCTGTGACGTCACCCATAGACTTTCTGAAGACCAGTTTTGAGGCTGTTTATGGGGGGTATGGGCGGCACCATACTGGAAAATCTTGAGAAATACAAAATACAAATGTTCAGAAAGGATACAGAGGTGGTATGATGTGTTGTGTCAGATCATGGCCGAGACATCAAATTCCACTTTGCGCAGCCCATTATCAGCTCAGCTGTCAATCAAAGTTAATCGCTCTTATTTATCATACATTTAATATCTAAATATGATCTAAACTAACAAATTAGAAAAAATTCACCCCCCTCACAGTTGTCAGGCACTCGGAACCTATCCAAAAATACAATAAAAGTCCATGGGACCAACCTGTAAACATATGAATTTATGCTGTGAAAATACTGGTCTATTGATATTTGCTCCCTTTTGGGACCTCCCTCTAGCGGATTTTAGATGTATTGCAGTTTTTCGCACTTCCGGGTAGGCTTCATGTTTCAGATTAGAATGTTGCCGCTTCGTTATAAACCAGGGTGACAGCAACCGTAACCAAGGGTTAAGAGTAAAGTAAACACTTTACGTCTCTCTCTCTCTATTGTAAATTCGTCTCAGGCCCCGTTCACACTACTGCGTTTTCGTTTAAAAAGGGAGGATTAAAACGAATACGATCTCCGTCCACAGCAGCGGTTTATCTGCGTATTAGAATTGATCTCCTTCCACATTAAAACGACTGAAAACGTGGATCACGTGATCCTTCACCAACACTGGGCATGTGCGTGCCGGTAATGTCCTCCGTTTTGTCCCGTCTACACTAAATCGCCCTCCGGAGATTCAAAACGCAAAACGGAGCTGCTGCGTTTCTAAACGTCTCGTTTTAGGCGTCCGTTTTAGTCTGGACGGGAGATGCAAACGTAGAAAAAGGTCTCCGTTTTTTAAAACGAAAACGCAGTAGTGTGGATGGGGCCTCTGTGTTCTTTATCTCACACTTCAGCTTTACTTTGAAAGTGAAAAATCTATGGTTTGCAATCAGTGCCTTTTATTACAGTTGTTTCAGTGGCTCATAGGAGTCAGGAGTGGTCAGTACTGATTGGCCACGTGAGAGCTCAGACATATTAGCCGCGTTTCCACTGCCGGGCCAGGGCCGGGCCGTGCTAGTGCGTGCCAGGGCCAGTCGCGTTTCCACTGTCACTTCCGGGGCTTGATCGGGGCTTCCTCAGGGCCAACGGCCAGGATATCTGGCCCGTCGAATACCTTGGGCCAGACAGGGCCGTATTAAGAGCTCACTGGGCCCCGGGGCTATGAGTTACTGCAGGGCCCCCCCACCACTTTAGGTCACCAACTACATTAGCTAAATGTTATATTATTTTACGAGTCATTTTATCCATCTATGATATACTTCACAGTTAAGTTATGTTACTTTTAACACGATTTTTTTTTATCATATCAAAATGTATTGCGACTAAAATTTAATAATTATTGTGACCAATTTCAATATCACCAAAAAATAATAGTAGCTTAAGAAAATAATCTCAAGCTTACTGATGACAAGAGTCACAAATTAAAATAGAACAAAGGCACAATAAATCGACTTATGAAAAACTTTAAGCACTGAATAATATTATATAAAGTAATTTTTCTTGTTAATTTTGCAAAAGTAATTCAGTCAAATACAGTAGCGTTAAATTACTTTCTTTCTGATGTTTGATTAACATTATTGACACACATGGCGACAGCATCTTTATTAGCAGCGTCTGTCACTTTCAGCGTCTGTCACTGTGCAAAACCGTCTCAAGTTCACCATGGTCTCAAAACCAGCATTTACAAAATGAATTCTCTCCCGCTGCTCACTGTGCCTGAGCAGTTTGAAATAAATGGTATCCAAACCACAATGTTTAAAAACGCGTTTAAATGATAAACTTACATCGATGCGCAGCAAAATTTAAATTTTTCTACCGGATATGCAACCCGGTATTATCGCCAGTCCTTTAGGCGAATATAGAGTTTAATCAAACACAAAAAGCAAAATTATACAAGTTAATATTCAAACTTACCGAAAGTTTGTGGGGTCGATGATGACGCTGTGTTTTAAGAATAGACTAGAATGAAGTGAAGAGTAAAGGCGATTTATTGATTGATGTATTCTAAGGCGCAGGCAGCCATCATCTATAGGCCTACTTGCAGCAGCAGGTCGATCGTTCACAAGTTAAATATAGAATAAATGTATTTGTCATATCAAATTAAAACCTGACGTTTCAATTTTGCCCTGCTCCCCAGGGGGTTTGATTGACAGGTGGCCTGGCCAATCATAACGCCGAATAAGCAACTTTGTCCGACAACAAAGCTGTCAGTAACGTCGGTGGATATGAACTTGAAAACGGTATTGTTTAAATTACTTAAATGACAATATTTGAAAGTTGAGACTTTGTTTCATATCATCAGTAAGCTGCTTTGAACTCTCTCTCGTAATCACTCGGTGTAACGTTAGTCTTTGCCCCGCGATGTATACTATTTTTCACTGCGTGAGTGCATGAGAACATGATATGCGTGACTCGTGAGACCCGCCTGGCTTGTGGCTCGTCAGATACTAAAAAAGGCGGGTCTTTGCGAACGTCTCCATTAATGATAATGATTCCATGATAATGCATGGAATATAACAAGGGAAAGTGCCACTAAATAACAGGGATAATTTGTGGGGGA